CCTAGGAGTTCACTGTGGTTACTATGGTGGGCAATCATGATGCACAGTGCAGAGGTGGTTAGGTTGTTTTGAAAGCCGAAGACAGTATCTGGTGGACTTCACTCCAGACTTATACGAAGATATTAATTAAATCTTTTTCAGACCAGGCTACCTACGGACTAAAAAGATTCAGTCATAAGCCCAAACTCAAAGAAGGAAATAGACCATTAATATGGTGGAAACCCGTTTTGAGAAGGTACCGTAGGAGTTTATTTTAGCCCCGTTGGTATTCCCACTGTATATGAACGAATTACCCAGATATTTAAACCCGTCTTCACAGTTATTTGACAATGAAATAAATATAAAACAGACTAAAAACTATAGTGATAGGTCAGTCATACAGAAAGAATTAGATAAACTAGGAGAATGTTCCAATCCAAAATCCAATATCGTTTTTACGACCTAGTAAGACGGGAGAGGATTTAAAGAAGTAAAACGACGAATTTGGACGCAGTCTTTGTGTTGCTGCATGATTGCCCAGCCTTCTCTTAAAGGCGTCCACAGACAGTGCCATAGCTACATCTGCCGGTAAGGAATTCCAGGGACGGCGAACCCGCAGTGAGAAGAAGTGGGAGCGCACCCGACTCCTTGCCCTCTGATGAGTTATCCTTCTGGGATTTCCACGAGAGAGCCTATACCTACTCAATGGCAGAACACCTTTGTTTGGGTGATTCTGGTCATTTGTTATCGGTGGAGTTTGGAAATTATTTCCAGAGAGGCTCGATAATGCGCCTAGACTAGAGATCTCATGGGTAGTTTTTCCAATCACGAGATGTTAGTGAAAAACAGATTAAGTAAATGCTGTTGGCGGGAACTTAGCAGTATATGCATGTTCTTATATTGCTACAGACAAGGCATTTTGAATGATGTGGGCGATTCTATTGCCTTTTGGAGGTTTAGATGCATTTATGTCGAAGGGATCCTAATCACCACACATCATAGCCCATTTAGAGTACTATGTACGGCAGGCTGATCTTCCTTCAAGAAGGAGATAAAAGTCTTGAGAAAACCACAAATAGTAAGTACTAGTTTAGTTAGAGGTACCTAGCTGTTATGTCTTGCAACGCATCGAGACCGAAACAAGGATAGCAAGTTGGACACAAATTATTGCAATTATTGCCTGACTATGCCAACGACAGCTTTATGTTTCCCTAGCCCACTCTACGCCAACAAGAACACAACGAAGTGAGATGCAAAGTATATTTCACGCAATAGTTGTATGATTCAAAATATCACCGAGGACTTGTAAATTATGAGTTGAGGTTGAAGAGCCCATATCTCTTCCCATCGTCACATTTTAGGGGGAGTGGTGGCTTAGTTTTGCCCTATCATATATCAAAATAATGTTCTGGGCAGTGACAATTCTAACCTTTTCCGTCCTTTGGATTGCCTTTGATAGATAATCGACTGAAAATATGTGCCAGATTAGCTCATATACGGTCCATCTGTGAAATTTTCCAGAAACCATCTTGATTTGCATGGGAATACATAGTGCGAAGATTAACATCGACTACAATAGCTTACTATCCTTTGTCACAGAATTTGAGTCTACAAACACCCTTTAATTCATATGACTAAACTAATCTCCAGAGTCACAGAAAAATTAAATAAGCCATCAAAAAGGTAGAAAAAAAGAAGTAACCACTGAATACATGCGTAATCATAAGTTTGTCTGATTTTACGTTTTCTTTATTTCTTGTCTTTTGGTCGGCATAACCAACATTAATTATTTCTGCTATTATTATCTCTTTTCCTTTGTCGACGACACTGGATGACTAACTAGTGAAAGGATCAAATCCATTCACAGTAGCAACACTGTCTTAACACACCGCACTCTAAAAACTACATATAATTAGTTCCAGCACCACTCCTTTTGTAGTCAACCAAAGCTACGACAGTCGAATGGCTGGACGAAATACGCGGAAGTCTACAGAAGACCTTTACCTCATAACCAAGAAGCGAGCGCAAAGAAATAAAATCGGTTCACGCTAGGTTCTAAAAACTATGTTGGAGTTGTTTAACTTTATCAACAATCCTAATGAAGTTCATGTTGTATTCAGCATCTTCTTGAATAGTAGTTATTTGGATATGTATATTCCTTGTGATTAAATGAAAAGACTTCGAAGGGTACGTATTTCACCTGAATTGTTCTCTGAGACATCATGTTTCTTAATAATAATGGGTAAATTTTTTATATATACATATGGTGGTACGGTTGAAGTATGCATTATCTTTAAGGAGCATTGTAGTTTGTTTAGTAATTTGGGGATGTGGGGCAGATTAAGTAACTGCATGGTGAAGTGAATTTGCTCCATCCTCTTGTTAATTTACGAATTCTTACTCGGATTCCATCGAATGCCTTAAGACGTCATGATAATAATATTATAGTAATAAATAATGATTTTATTGGCAAGCTTTCTGTTTTCCCACCAATCAGCCAAATGGATTTTGAAGCTCTGTATAGATTCACTATCCATTCTATCATATATTAGAAGGTTACTTTAAAGAAATTGAGCCTTGATTTGTTTTTAATACTTTTAAATGCTCTTAATTTCTGGTTAGTAAAAGCGAGCTACAGTTTGTAGCTGGGTGTCTCTTCTCTTTAAGCTACTTATTGATGTGTTGTTGGTAAAATTGTTTTCAGGCCATAATCTCTGTGTCTTGAATAAAATACCAGGAGCTTACACACTGTGGTCAGTGAATTTACACTGAGTTCTTCTGATTTCCTCCTTAATGTTATTAACCTATACCGGGTGCAAATTTCTCAGTTTGTTCGTTTTGTCAAAATCCATAAGATTTAAGGCCTGATTATTTATATTTCAGTGAAAACCTAGTGATCGATGAAGTAAAATTAGGTTTTCAGCTAAACTACTACTTCACATCACTTTTCTTATTAGTTGAATAACAGTCAGTTTGGAACAAATATTCGATTCAAACAGTTAATGTGTTACATATTTTGACGTTTCATCAACCTCATAAAAGACTATCTACCGAAAAATATTTTTGCGAAGCTATAAGCATAGATTACTTAGTGATACAAGGTACTGAGCACCTAAATTATTGTTATACAAGATCTTTTACCATTTACTTTTTTAAAGTAATTTCTGCCGATAATGCTTGCAATATCTTAAAGACATATGGTCCAGCTGTTCACGACTAGTTGCTCAGTGATTTAAGCGAGTACGTAGGACTTTACATTATTCAAAATGACTTACGCATGCAATCATAGAAACAATTTACTTTGGTGGTTAAAAGCTGTCTTCAACCGTGTATTACTATATCGAAGACTTGGTAAGGATCCTGGAGACATTATGTTATAGTTGTTTCAGGCTGTTCATGATACTACCAATGATTTGACATGGTAGTGATGTACATGATGTGGAACTCTAAACGGAGAGCGCACTTATTTTATCTTCCGTAAAATGTTTTCGTGTATTCTAATATAAGTTTATTTTTATTTTTTAGTTATAATGTGTTTAATTTCAGTAAAAGTGAGAGCGGTTTTGGTCAGAGATTTCAGAATGCTGTATGTGTCAGGCCTACGGATGATTCATTCTACTAAGTCTTCGTGTTATCTTTGGAGAATTTCACCTTCTTTCATAATCTTTTGTTTTGAATGCTGCTTAAGTATTTAGGTACCTTAACTAACATTGAAGCATACACTTAGCATGTTTCGGAGTCTTGAACATGCTTAGGAAATACTGTGGACAATAATCTATCATTGCTTTATTTTCGTTATAAGCAACTAAATCTGACGGGAAACAGCTAAAAGTGGAATTATTATATTTAACCACTGACAGCTGAGTTTCTGTGGCTAAGATTTATTCTGTTAAGTGTACATGGCAGTTTTTTCAGCCAATTTTGATTTTCTGAAGCCACTCAGAATAAACTGTTACATCAGTAACTTAGTGCAAGCTTATAGGTGTGAAAATGTATTTTTATGCAGTTTCGTCTAATAGTATCGACCATAAATTTAAAGGTCGGTCTCTATCTTCTGGCATTTTTGTGGCTCAATCAGAAGGAACTCAGGGAGGGTAACACTACTAAGTTGCCTTATTGAGTTCAGTATGGTTGTACTTACGCCTTAGTTCATTCTGTCATATCAGAATATTGTGTATGTTGGCTTTTAATTCATCTTTGACTTCAGAGGTATGTGTATGATTTTTCATCTATCAAGAAAAGAACCAACGCTCATAGTGGAGTATGAACTCTGGTTGGGTAGATATGTAAAGATTAGCAAAGAGTATATAGTATTGTGTCCCATATAAGGGACCTGGTACTGTATATTGAGTAGTTTACATTGCACCAAAAAGAACAGCTAAATTTTAAAATAATGTGATCAATAGACATATTTGTGGCGTCTTATGAACTATAGGATTCGACGTTCAGTTGATTTGCAACTGAAAAAGGTAATTCTAAAATTATTAAACGGACTTTGTAAGTGTGCTTTAGATTGTACGTTGTAAAAACAGAAAAAATCAGCTTCGCTGAATAAAACTGTATGTCTTTCCTCTAATATGCTTGTTTTTAACTTCAAGTTTTCGGTCAAATTTAATGGTTGTAGCGACAGTTTATTTAGATTTATAGATGTTAACTTGCACGTATCCTCCCAAGAACTTTTTGCGGTCATAAAAGCTGTTAATATACAAAGATATTTGGATATTAATGTTTCACTGTGTTCAGATTTCATGAAAACTTGTCACCAAGTTTACTGACTTATAGTTGGCAGTAAAGAGATAATGTGAACTTGAAATGTCGGTTAGTCAACTAGCAACATTCGACATGAATAATAAATAAGACAAATGAAAGGAACACCACTAAAAATCTTGTCACTCTGTGTAAAATAAATTATTCCTTGAGTAATTGTTACTTTAGAAACAATATGTAAGCCTAATTCGACAGTTGCTAGGTGCACTTTATTATATTATATGCTTATGAAGGGAAAATCTACTGCTTTTAGGTCTTGTTTTGTAAACTTTCAGGTCGGCTTGACATTCAAGGAAAGCTCCAAAATTGTTGAAACTTTCGATTTGTGTCTGTTGCTTTCCTGAATAGACAGTAAGTATTCTGTAAGCTATTATGTCGGAAACTGTTTAAATAGAAAGACAGACGTACGACCTATTGGAAACTTGGATGTGAGCATTACGGCTGAATAAAGTTGGATACTTCATTCATTTTTGATTGTTAAAATCCTGGTGTATTTCCTTCTTTGTCAAACGTTAACTAACTTTTCTAACGAAATATTTTTCCACGCTCACTCATATAACTCTCAGGTTGGATACTGTTATTGAAGGTGGCTAAAGAAATTAGAACAGAAACTACGACAAATTCCTGCACAAATTATGGATTTCAGTACTTTGAACTCAGTTTCAGTATTAAATGGGTGACTTCTGAATATGAACGTCGAGTTTACTGAAATGCAGAATAAATCGTATTCATCGGTAAATAATGATCGTTTAGCATATTTATTAGACCATGTTGTTTAACTAAGTTTAAAACCTTGTTTCATTTTCCACCGAGGAACTTGTTACTTGCTACTTTTCTACTTATTTCCTACACTGCGAAATATAATTTATTTCAGTCCCTTTCATTTTTCGTATACCGTTTTACTTGTTCAACTGAATACTTTTTTAGATTTTAATTGTCTTCAATCTGCCGTAAGATAATATCTTTCAAAGATAGTTTTCTAGAGTTGCATATGGCTTATGATAGATCTTAAAGTAATGTAGTTAATTATTTTTTCAAAGCTTCTTCAGCTAAGTACGCTAATATGTAATTTTTAAACTACTCTCCACCATTTCTTTTGTTCTTTCCTTTCAGATTCCATACGTCATGTGTTTTGTCTAGTCAACTTCAAACACACTATTTTGTTGTCATCCTATTTATAGACACATGTGCTGCTAATTAAGCCCCTTATAATTCAAAAACGCTAATTTATCAACAAACTATCATGAATGTTCAAAGTATTAATGTCCAAAGAATAATATTTTTAATTTTCTTTTTAATATTTCTTAGCCTTTGCCTTCTTAGTCTTAATGAATATATTGTGATAAAAAATGTCTGGTTTATATTCACTCCGCTATGGATATGGAATATTTTGGTGTTTACAAGTTTAATTTCATTGTCCATTATAAAATGTACTAGACTAACCAAGTTCTTTCTGTTTTATTGTCTTTACCAAGTACATATATTTTTGTTTCAAATATTCATCTGTCTTAAATTGGAGAGTGATACCTTTCCGTGGTGCGTAGTCTTAATTCCAGTGTTTGGATTGTGTCTTTTAGGATTCTTGACTGTTACTAAAGATTTTCGTAGATTAAATGTCTACGAGTTGGAAGTATTTCTCTCTTTAAATTTACCTTGTATTATTTTGATTGGTTTACGCTTAGATAATTGTATTCATTGGAGTTGGGCTGTAGTATTAATACCATTTTGGATAACAATGGCATTTCTGGTGGTGCAGTTATTACACGGTTTGTTTCTAGTTGCTATATTGTGTGGATCAAACCATTTCGAACAGAAAGATCGTAATCAGACTATTATTAGAATAACTGGGTATTCTTCAGTCGCATTTTCATTTCTAATATTTTCTATCTTTCTAGTTTGCAAGCTGGATAAAATCCACTCGTTTACATATGTAGAAATCTTTTCCCCTCTTATTATTTCCGTCATATTAATGCTGATTCTTACAGTTTTCACCGAGTATCCGAATAATATAATTCTTGAAGCTTTACATACTATACATGGCGAAAACTCTTCACCAGGATATTTCTCAGGAACACAGTAAGTTAAATGCTTATTTTCTTAAATATTTGATAACTTGATTAGAGTAAATACTCAGTAATTGATATATCAAAGGAAATAAATAGATAACTGATTATCAGACTTCAATAAAGCAAGTACAAGTGTATATCTGCTATTGTCTTGGATTCCTTTGGCCCGAAAGTTTATGGTTTATTGTTAAGTATTATATATATGTAACACGTATGATAAACTATTACTGATTTTCTTTCTACTGAATGTAATATTCTGTTATCATAATAGCACTAATTGTAAATAGTGAAGACAGGCGTATTTCCACTTCAACAAGTTTATTTACAGTATATTTATTAAAAAAATGCTGCCTTGTTTATCAAAGGCATCAATTCAATTTTCGTAATAGTCGTCTTTCTTATTACCAGTAATGTGAGACATTTTCTTCAAATATGAAAGTTAAGTATATCGAAGAATAATAAATTGTGAAGCGTTTAATATGCGGATAATAATTTCATTAGGAATCAAGAATTTGAAATCTATTATTTGATTATATATTATGACTTTAAGTTATTGTATGGCCAAAACAGTATTGAATTGCTTAAATCAGTTCACTAATTCAATGACATTTCAAAAAATTAAAGTGTACAGAAATTAACAGAAAGTGAAACATTGATGCAAATGACAACAGTAAATAAAGACTAAGGAGCTGTTCAACATTAAATGAGATAAAAGTTTTCTTTCATTTCCACATATCTTACCTCTACTCTGAACTTTTAGTCATTTTCATGAATATCTGGAACTTCATTTATGAGCTTCAGATAATTAAATACACTATAGACATAAGCAGTTTGTACATTCTTGACTGTGGGTTGATAAAAATACACAAATGAAATTATTCACATGCAGCCTTCTTTTCCAGGAAATTCTAAATCTAGTAACTACGTTAAGAAGTTTTGTGGAGTAAACTAATTAGTCAGAGTATAACGGATTAGGCACTTAAGTAATACTTTATTTTTCGCATTAGGTGAAACCAGCATTTACAGTTTAAAGATGATGTAAAATAGTGAACTTTTGGCCCAAATTAATCCTTCGAATTTATATTACAGTAAAAGTTCAGTCCTGCTTTGAATAAATGAACAAAAGGTGCTAATATTAAGTGTTTTGGCAGCGAATCCCACTGGTTTACTTATAGATGTAGACGATTTGACTGTAGTATCTGAACTTTAATGTTCTGTCTTCTTAAGCGGTCTCTTCTATAGGACAGAAATAGGGTCGATAAATTAACTAATAAGACAGCAGTTCCTAAGCGAATTTCTAAGCGCAGTTGTGAATTCTGGACTGCTGGTCGTAACATTCAGTAGACTCAGATTGGTTTAATGATATGCTGAACAGCACCGACGTCAGTTCAACTATGGTCTTGGTCACTGGGGATACTGTTTGTGAACGGTGTTCATTAGGATCACCGAACTTAACATAACTGAGATTTAGAAGCAATTTGGGGATGTTTTCCTTGTTAATGTGTATATATTACATTTCTAGAATTGTATTATACTTTTCAGAGAAAACTTTGCTGAAGTTACTTAACAGAGTCTTAGATTTTGTCAAATTATCATTAGCCGAACTTGTTTGGCTCTCATCAAGGAGAAGGGTGAAAATGGCGTCTCTTTTACTAGTTCTTCTCTTCACATATGAAAATTCTTTTATAATAACCCTGTACGCTCATGACTAGACTGATAACTCGATACCTTACACTGACTTCTGGTTCCACAGTATTCTGCACAGCAGCATAATAGGGATAAAAGGTTCCATAACCTTCTCCTCTGCCAAACTAGTGTCGTAACTTGTCTGTTTGTCCAGTAAGGAGAGTTCGTTGGTTGGCTAGGAATCCTTCATGAGACACAATTGAATGTAAGCACTTTAATTGTTTTCAATATGGTGGTCTTCTGTAAAGGAGTTTAACTGTGAAGCGTTAAATGTCTTTCTAGACAACATGTCCAGTACACACTCCATAACCTCTTCGATATTGTCGTAATTTCGGATGCCATGTCTAAATGTAGGCGTGCAGGCTGTGAATTGATCTCTACGTCCAGCGGGAGTGCTGATAAGCTAGACAGCTGAGATGCCCATGGATTTCGACATTGGTTATTCAACGGAATTGGTTTCTGGACTTTGGTAGGCGAATCTGCTGACAATATCCATCTCTGTGACCAATGGTATGGTGTCGTACACAATTGTTGTGTTTGTAAGGGCATGATTTTACGTAGTGCCAAGCCCCAGAATGCCGGCATGCTGAAGGCGCAGTCTGCTGCAGACGACGCAGTTGATATCGACGGTACTGGATGCACCGCATGTACTTCTGCTGTATTTTGGTTGCCAGACTGGACCAGAATAATATCTTTATGATTGTTGATTAAACGCTGGTACTCTTCACTGACGTCTGTCAAAGTCATTCGTGGATCTTGTTCCAATCGACTTAATAGGCGTGTGCGTATGCAGGCGGATTTGGGGGACTGCAAACTACAAATGAAAGTCAACACTTTGAACTGGTCTTCTGTCAGCGATTTCAATTTGGAACGTTCACAGGTGCGATTGACTATGCACAAATGAGTATGGATATTATCATTTTCGTTCAGAATCAGTTTTGTGCAATGATATTAAATGTTCAATAGTGATCTGTGGTCACCAAACTGATTACGAAGGGTCTGAACAGTTTCATCGAATGATCAATCACTGGGCTTCTGTGGGAGAATTAAGTTGCAATATTTATCTAGTTCATCTGCTTCCAGTTTACGAAGCAGAAGTCGTACTTTCCACGCATCACCTTTGTCCGCAAAGTCTACTCGAAATAGGTCTTTTTATCTGCGAAACCAGGTATCAGATGTCATGTTCGCATCTGGGTCATAAACAAATTCTGAGATGCTGCTACCAATATTATCGTTGGCTGTAAATGAATCGGCAGGTCATGATATGTGTAGACCAGCAAGTATTTTCATTAGTTTTAACTGCTGTTCCATAGGTTTCTCTGAACGCAGCGTGTCCATCTTGAGCAAACTGTTTGCCAAAATTGCTATGACCGGAACTACGTCCTAGTACACTATGAGCGAATACTAACTTGATGCCCTGGCTAATTTGTCCTAATCACACGTCAATAACAACAACAATACCGTCACGCAAAAGACTGAAAAGAAGACTGGACATTGATAAGAGAGGTTTTACTGTCCCAAAACATCAGTCGAAAAAGGTTGACAGAGCTTGCATACATACATGTTTAAAATGACTTTGAGAAGCACTAATGTTATTAAATTAAGACAGTGAACAAACAATGGGATTTCAAAGGTCCTAAATGGTGTGAGAGAAAATTTAGTAACAAGTCAATAAATGGGATGAGAGAAATACAAACAGACATGCAAAAATGACAAGTAAAAAATTAGGTCTATGTATCAAACGATAGAGTGGGAAGGGAGATTACAGAATTCATATCCACATGCAAAAGACAGAAAAATTACAGCCGAAAATGCAAGCAACCTTTGACATACAAGGAATTTCGAGGGTGCTTAATAGCTTCCCGATTCTAGATTGATTTATTCATGGTGTAATCAAGAGTAGGCTTATAGGAGACTTTGAGTGTGTGGTGCTTACTTAGATGTGTTGTTTATACACATTGATTGACTGATTCCACATACATCAGTTGTTTGACTTTCTCGAAGGACAGTCAACTTTATTACAACAGTTCTATAGATTACATTTCATATTGATAAAACTTTATAAATTTTTTTTTCAGGTCTTCGACAAACGGTTCATCAAATGTTGTTCCATGTCAGGTTTCTAATCGCATCGTTTGGACAAATGATCTGCCAGATACGTGCAAGGATATAAAAGTAAGAGATTCTTCGAATACGTGTGAAAACAAGACACTCCTAGATAACAGTTCTCAAAAAATTCTGTCTAACACAAGGACTACTGAGAATGATTTATTAAACAAAGAAATGCATTTACAAATTCCGAACCAACATACCTCATTATCACTCCCAGATTAATACAATCAAATCTATTGTTTGCGATAAGAAGAATTTTATTGCTTACTTTCTCCTATAACCTCTTTATTCAATGCCTATTGTATAACGATATTTGATGAAATTATTGTTTTCTTGCTACATTCAATCTCACAGGTTATCATTTATTTCACAAAGAAAAATTTATTATACAGAAACCAAGTGTTTTTAGAGAAGCTTTCTTTAAATAACATATATATATATATTGCTGGTATTGAATTAATTTTATTTTTTCTATGGTCGATTTGCGTCGGTGGCATAGCGGTTAGGACGCTCGCCGACCATGCACATGGTCCGCGGTTCGAACCCCGGCCGACGCACCCCCTTACCTCGCTAATCCAGAAACAGTGCTGGTGAAAAGGGAAGGTTGGGCATGAGGCTAGCAACCCCATCCTGTAAAATAAACACTGTTACAGAAACTTCAAGCCACTAGCTTGAAGCCCTATGTTCCACTGGGGAACGTGAAGGAAAAAAAATTCAAACAATAAAATTCGAATATTTTAAAGTTGATTGTATCGTAAAATAAGTACCAGATGGAGAACTACCTAAGGTTATAGTCGCTTTGAGCAGAGAATACTTATTTCGAATACGTACTTTTTAAATTCTGTAATGACCGACTGACTGGTTTCATCATAGAACTTTGCACAGATGTGCACCAGTTCGAGTTGCCACACTCTCTCTCCTTGCAGCACAAAAAGCAAGAGAAGAGAGTAAAGAGAGATAATAAACAGAGATATGAGGAAAAAAGAATAGCAATATCAAAGAACAATATAGTTTTATTGGGTATTATAATTCACAAGGGGTGGATGCATCTGCGCCATTGAGAACGATTTTGAGCCATATCATCAATTGTCTTTAGTCATTTGTTTTTACTATCCTGAGGACCACAACCAGGAAGTCTACACCTTCCTACGTGGCTTAAACTAACTGTTGTGTATTTCATTGACTGAGGAAGCCATGCTTTGGTTTGACCATCACTAGATGTTTTCCAATCTGATATTATGCCAGTCAGCTAACACTGCCCGTCGAGGAAGGCGATGGCTAGGCTTAGCAAACGTAACACATGTCCTAATCATCTCAATCAATGTAACTTTACAGCCTATTCAACTGATTTCCCCTTCTTACTTAGCTCTCGACTGATGCCTCACCTTAATATTGCTCACCTTATTATACCACTTAACACGGGAGATGGAATGCAGACAGCTATGGTCAAAGATAACTAGCCACCCTTTTTATGTCTTTCACTTTTAATGACCAGGTATCACAGCCATAAAGAAGGACGGGGCGGACTGCAGGGCAGTACACACGGCCTTTGGTCGATAGCCAGATATCACGTCTACGCCAGAGATACTGAAGGTCACACTTCTATTTCCTATTATCTTTGAGGTTTTTATATGTGTGAGTAACATTTAACTACACAATTAAATATTCATCTCCCGAATAAGCATTACCCTATTACCTTAATATCAGCTTGCCTTATTAATACTATCTCAGACATTCGGAACAGCTAATTGGATACACAGTCAGGTGTGTGCTTAAAGTAAGTTTGTTTGGTTTGATTAAAAATTATTAAGTTTATTTGAATACATGGAAATTTAGATAAGATTGCAAATTCATTATATATTAGATGTCTGACAATAAAAAGAAGGAAGCCTAGATATAGATACTAATGTAACTGATTGTGTTTGCCAATCACTCACACCTTTTTCAGAAGAGCTGGCCATGTTGTTCAACTTGCCAGACATTCATGAGTCAAGAGAGGTCAGAATCTACTATTATGCTAGTTCGAATAAAGGTGTTCATCCTAATTAGCTACAGATTCTCACTGGGTAATTCTAAAAAATATACTAAACAACGCGTGCGTCGGTGGCACAGTGGTTAGGACTCTCGCCAACCATGCACACGGTCCGGGGTTCGACCCTCTGCCGACGCACACCTGATATCTATGGTTGGCCTGATAAATTTGGGCTACCGATATCACATGCTGAAAATTTCATACCTGTACCAAAAAATACGGTGTGGAATCAAGCTGTAATCAAAAATAAAAATAAAAAAATAGAATGAACGTAGTGAATAGTTATTCAGTGCAAAATCTGTGTTCATTTGTTAAAATGAAGTAAACTGTATATCACAATATGGTTAATGAGTGAAAAGCTTTGAGCAGTGACCGATTAAATGATTAACAAACTCATGTAGAGTTTTGAATAGATGTTCATCACTTAAAGATGTTACACTTCAAAAAAGAATAAAGAAAAGACAGAATGATAATAAAATGTTTTTGAGTAAAAAAGTAATGACGTGGAGAGCTATGAAAATATTCAGAATCTGAATAGTAAGGTGTAAATACACCTGGGACATTATGAACAACTTTCTTTCATGTCACCAATATTTGCTAACTGCTGATTTTTAGCACTCCAAAGCCCAGGTAACCTTGAACTCCTATATAACCCAGATAAGCAGTGATTAGCTCCTTGGACTAATATCATATCTTGATCTAAAACCACCCTGACTCTTCTCTAACGTAAGCCAAATTCTTGCCAAACTGGTCCTGGAGGAAGAGAGTGAATCAGCACCCAGGATATGTCTTAGCCGCTTCAACTGATTAGACATCAAAAGCTCATCATCTTCCTTACCTAACTACTCTAAGCCTAATTTCAATGCTAATTAACATTCTGATGAACATAACGGGAACAAATGAACGGAAACACTCATGGGCAAAAACCAGTTATTTCTTCATTATTCAACAGTCGGAAATTAAGACAGAATCGCTATACAGTAAACATATGATTTCATAGGTAACTGCATATCACGTTTGGAGGAAACGTGATACATTTTGTTCTTGGTGATGGGGTTTTGTCAGCATTTAGTTCATTAGAGCTGACAAAACCTCTCAAATAAGTGAAGTGGCCGTCACAACTAAACACTTTACCTCTTATCCTTAAACCAAAAGTTAGTGCAGAACAGCCCCGTAACATCATCTTACATTTGGCAGAGGCAAAGTGCTTGCCAAACGTTCTCAGATTTTTGCTGGAACTGTTCAGAAGATTTTGTGTTTCTTCAGCGTTTTAATCTAAGCGACTGTATCATCTATTGAATTTATCTCAATAAGTTCTTTTTCTAGTAACAAGTCCATTCCCCAGCCGTTTAAGTTAATCAGAGGTGCATTTATCAGTACGCCTACAACATGGTTACGTAAGAATAATGACATTCAAAAGCCTTGAAGAACAGCATATAAAGTATAGCAAGATGTGCTTGAGATAAAACCAGTGAATATGGGTTATTCCTAGTCATACCATCACACAATAGTGGCTTAGTTCATTGTAGTTATTTCCTCATATTTATCCCTTAATATGAATATCCTTTAATATTAATCCCTTCATATCATCAATTCATAGTGTACCATGATGGCTTACCACCTAGCATGTTGGCCACATTGCCACATTGACTGATAGAATTCAGTCTGCACCAAACAAAGGACTGGACACATGATACCAGTTTATTAGTGTCCAATCAAATGTTGGAATAGATACTCTTTGAGTATTTTTTTCAAAACTTAATTTTCTTTTCACAAAACACCAAAATGAATTAGAATTCCATATATATTATTATTGTTTCCTTTAATTCCTAGAGGAACATAGGGCTTCAGCCGTGCGTCTCCATTGCGTTCGGTTCTCTGCTAGAGTCTTAACCTGACTCCAAGTCTGCCCACACGCTTTCATCTCCTCTTCACATGACCTCCTCAAAGTCACCCTTGCACTGACGACCAACTCACCGCTTCCCTTTCGGGTTCCACTCGAGCAATGGCTTGTCTAGTGATGTCACTTGATGGTTTCCTAAGAGTATGGCCAATCCATCTCCATTTCTTCCTCCATTTTTGTTGCACAATTGGTTCCTGGTTGGTTCGCTCCCAGAGATCTCTGTTGCTGATCTTTTCTGGCCATCTGATCTTGAGTATTGAGCGAAGACAACTGTGAATGAAGGTCTGTAGTTTGTTTGAGATGCTCTTTATGACGCGCAGTGCAAGTCTCTGATCCGTATAGTAGCACTGACTTCACATTGGAGTTGAAAATCCGGATCTTATTTTTGATGCTGAGTGCTGTTGACCTCCACACAGACTTGAGAGTAGTGAAAGCTTGTCTTGCTTTTGCGATTCTTGCTTTGATATCCTCGTCAGTTCCGCCTAACAACATTGAATAATTTAGAGAACTCCTACTCTGAATTAAATTGTATTTGTAAGACTAACTATATGTTAAATTGAGTTCACAAGTAATTTTATCCTCTCAAAAACAATTCACGTTTTTGTACAATTAATTTTTAATCAAAAATTAGTTCAATACCGTTTGCAATAATTATCACAAGTTTTCTACTACATATGACCTGATTTAGCAATGACCTTGATTGATAAGGATATTAATCTTTATGATTTTTTTTGAACGACATTAATCAATAAAGGGAAAATAATTTAGTGAGGCGCCGTAATTTATAATATCGTTTAACCTTCATTTAACACTGAACAAATGGTAATGGTTATAAATGCTGATCGTTTTATTTTATTGGAAATAGTTTTATAAAAAATACAAAGTAGTATGGGTGGAATACATACAAAATCTCAACAACAAAATTTAATCAAAACTGCAAAGGAGAAATATTCATATAATTTCAGTGATGCTGGAAACAGACGAATAACAAATAATGATTATTATCGTCAACATAATTGTGATGATTTTAAGTCAAATTTACGAGATGAAATTGTCAAGGAAACCATAAAACACATAAATAAAATTGAAAAAAGAAATTCTTCACAACCGAAATTTTCATCTAATGTTAGAATGAATGATATTCAGAACCCAAGAATGAGTTCAGTGTTATCACCATTGAAAACTGATCTACTTAGAAGTGTGGATGATACGAGTATCTCAAATAACAGTGATATTTTATCGAAAATGGATTCATCAATTCACAAAATGTCTATTATGGATAAGATTCTTACAAAACAAAACTGTAATTCCATACAACAGATAAAAACAGACGATTCAAGAATGAATTCACCTGTTGTAAATGAAACTGAAGATTACAAACCAACTTCATCTAGTCTTGGAGATGGGAATTCTAATGAATTATACTGTGGCGACCGAAGTTTTTCTAGGCAGTCACATTTAGTACAAGAAAAATCTAAGATTCCACAAAGTTCTGGATTAGGTGACATAAGCAAAA